TGTGTGTGTGTGTGTGTGTGTGTGTGTGTGTGTGTGTGTGTGTGTGTGTTTGATATGTTGCTATCGATTTACCTTAGCCTCATAAGGGTAGGATGTCTCAGTGTCAATTCCTCCATTGGCTTGGATGTACTGAAAGGCCCGCTTCACTGATCCTCCTTTGCAGCCATTGTTGCCAAAGCTCTGAGAGCAGTCCATTAACTGCTGCTCGCTCAGAGACACCAGCTTTCCTGTCTTCCTGAAGTGCTGACTCTCCAGTACACCAGTCTGCAGTAAGGACGAGTCGATTTCAAACCAGGCAACAGTTTTTGTTTCCCAAAGTTACCCAAACAACACAAAATTTTATGTACTCACTGTACTGAAGGCCCAGCAGGAGCCACATATCTTCTGATCCTTGACTTCAGTGACATATCCCTTATCCCTCCAGTCAACAGTGTCGGGCAGATCAGTACCTTCAGGCAGGCGAAAGAAGCTAGAGCCACGCTGAGGCAGAGAAGCATTAAAGGAGCCAAGGTAGCTTTGGGAAATCAGCTGTTTGTACTCTTCATGTTCCTGATAAAGAGGGAAGACATTCATGGGGGTTTTATCAAACAAAGTTGTTGTTTGGTTTTTTGTATCCTCACATGCTAATTGCATCAAAAAAGACAGATAACAACTGAATTGGTGAAGGGTAAAATCTGAATGATCTCTTTTTGTACACATACCATGTCAGCAAAGTGGGTCATCCCAAGGTGGTAGGATTTCAAACCCTGGTCTGCCAAGATGTTGTGCACTAGCACATGTTTGCGGTTGTTGAGCCAGATCTGCTTCCGGTGAGCCTCCTCTGACTCAGAGTCATATGACTTTTCTGCAAGTTGGAAAAGGAAATTATGAGAAACAGAACAATTTTTTGATTCGCTAACATATTTCCTTTGATTTGAATCTTATAAACTTTTACATAACTGGATGAGGCAAGTTTGAGGTTTGGACAGTGTTTTAAAGAACACAAAACATGATCAGAAGCTTCTGAAAAAACACAAAAACAAAAGAGGAGAGAAAGTGTCTGCTGTCTCACCAAACTTGAGTTTCCAGGCGCGAAACTCCAGATCTTCCAGAGAGATGATGGCACAGCCGGCTACAGCCAGAACAGCAGAAACCACAAGCAGCAACTTCATCTTGACTAAACACAAAGAAACGAATCCTTTGTGACTTGTAGGAAACCACATCAGTTTTAAAATGCTTTCTGTCACTTTAAATGGATGTTGGATATCACTTTCATAGTACGACAGTATCATCTCTCTCTCCAAACCTTTTGCAAATTAATAATTCTTTGTTTTTCTTTGTTTTCTTTCATCAGTATATTACTGAAAAGTGCATTTACACACTCGCCTATGTGTCTAATTACGTGCTGTAGCTACTTACCTGTCTCAGTGTCCGTGGTTGATATAAGTCTTTGTCAGAGAGAACGTCTTATATAGCAGACCACTAGTATGACTGCAGTATTCCAGTCAGGTCAGGACAGGAGTAAAGTAAAGAAAGCGAAAGAATGTTAAGTACTGAAATAGAAAAAGGTGGAGGTGTCAGGGTCCCTCAGTCCTCCTTGGCTTCTCCCCTATGATTGGGTCTTCTGTCTGTCTTTTCCCATTTTTTCCTCTGTCTGTGTTCGTTTGTGTGTCTCTGTGTTTGGAAACTAAATCCAGGATATCACTTACAAAACAAAACCCACCTCACTCACTCTGTTGGATAACCCCACCAAAGCTATCAGTTTCTATGATTTGAAGCCCCCATCACCCTGTTGGTCCATGGTCACCCTTGGTTACGACCCAACAATCCGCACATCAACTGAGAAACAAAATGAGTCTGGATGGAGGCTGTCTTTCCATAAGAACTGTTTAAAATCCACTCTCCCTTCAGATTCTACAGCCCCTGAACCAAACCCACCTGAAAACGCAGGTGGGTTTGGTTCAGGGTTCCAAACTGTTTATCATGATTTGGCTGAAGTTTTCAGAAAGGATCTCACTCTGTCTCTTCCTCCACATCTGTCTGTCACTTGATGAGAATTAGGCAGGGGGTTAGTGGAAGATGGCCTTCAATACCCATCACAGACACTTCAAACACCTGGTAATGCCCTTTGGACTAACTAACACACCTGCTGTTTTTCAGGCCCTAGTTAATGACGTTGTCTGGCATTTCATAAATTGTTTCATGTTTGTCTACCTGGATAACATCTTATTTTTCTCACGATCTCTCTCAGAACATAAAATCACTTAAGGTTTGTCCTGCAGCAGCTGCACAAGAAGTTGTTTCTAAAAGGCAAATTTTATGTTGACAGTGTATCTTTGCTGGGCTACAGGAAAGATACATTGTTGGGCTACCAAAGGGACATCTCAAACCAGGCCCAGCAAAGGTGCAAGCAGTCATGGACTGGCCATTGCCTGAGAACTGCAGATGTTGCAACGTTTCCTTGGTTTTGCTAACTTTACTGGGACTTCAGTAAAGTTGCCATGCCTCTAACTCAACTTGCCAAATCACAGTTCCAGTGAACCCCAGCAGCTCAGTCGTCCTTCGACTTTCTCAAACAACACTTCACTTCTGCTCCCATCCTTTCTCAACCAAACCTCTCACAACAGTGAATGTGGATGCATTAGATTCTGGAGTGGGAGCCGTCTTTTTCTCTTGTCGTCTATTCCCTGCAGAGCAAAATTATGACGTTAGATCTGGATCTGAAACTCTTGCATACCTCGAAACGGCGAGTGGGCTTTGTTTTTTACCCTCTTGAATTTTCCTGCAACGTACAGGCCAAGCTCTTTAAACAAGTTAGTCCACTGTGTAAACCTGAATTCTGTGTGTAGAGACCAGTTTTCCTTTTTTTTAAACTGGAATCTATTTGCTGATTTGGTCATAATTTTATTATTTTTTTAAATGTAGTATTGTAGTCTCAAATGGTTTATTGTTTTTTATTAAATAATATGCAAAAATACAGATTACACATATTTGACTTGATGGTGGAAACTGGATTGGCAGTCTGTCCAACAAAAAAACACATAAATGCAAAAATGTCATCCATGACAGGTCTACAGGGAAAATGGGGACCCTTCAGCTTTATTCTTTTGGGAACACAAAAGTCTGCAGAAAACTATAAATGTATCCCACACAAGCTTAACATTTCTCTGTTGATACTGGATGATACTGACCATAGTTTCTAATGCTAAAAACCACTTCACGGGTAATAAGCTACACACTACCAACACAACGTAACAAACACAATTACAATTTTTACATCTTAGTATAAAGCATTCTATTTATTTTTTTAACATGCATTTGATGTCTTTATGACGTTATTCCGTTAAGCACCAATGCAGGAAAAGAGTGCTTCTTGACACCATAAATCAAATGATGTTTGATGTTGTTGAGCCAGACCTGTTTCTAGTGAACCTCCTCTGACCTAGATCATAGTCATATGACTTTTCTACCAATTGGAAAAGGAGATTATGAGAAAAACAGAAAAAAGAAATTAATCTTTTTTTTTTTTTTTATCTGCTAACATGTTTCCTTTTATTTTAGTCTTAGAAACTTTTACACAAGTAAACACATGGGTGAGCATTTCTTTGTTTGAGTTTGAGGCTTGGACAGCATCTTTAAGAACATAAAACATGATCAGAAGCTTCTGACAAAATCGAAAATAAAAGAGAAGAAAGAGAGTCTGCTGTCTCACCAAACTTGAGTTTCCAAGCGTGAAGCTCCAGATCTTTCAGAGAGATGCTGGCACAGCTGGTTACAGCAGAACAGCAGAAAAAACAAGCAGCAACTTCATATTGACTGAGAAGAAGCAGAAAAAGACAGAGGCATAGCCAGCTTCTCTACACTTTCATGGCAGGATTTGACAATATTCAAAAGAGGTAGTCACAGAATGTTTGGCTTTTCCACCTCCCACAGGGGGCTAGATGGTCAGGTGCAGAAAAGTTCATGACAGTCAGTCAGACAGATAATTTTCTTTTGTTTCAAGTAATTTTTGCAAATCTCAGTTCCATAAAATCCTTATCTTCAGTTTAGGTTAATCTAAGCAGCATATTTATTTAGTATTTAAAATCAAATCTGCATTATGTCTGGGACAACACTGGATACATTTACACATGGAGAGATATTTCACTACCAGGCCTGCAGGTCTGCAGAGAGGCTGGGGGTACTGCTCCAGCTATAGCAGCCATCTGTCCCTAAGACCTCCAGGCTGGTTGAAACTCCTGAGAATGTGTTGATGCTCCTGTCAGGAGACAGACACACGCTCTACTTTTAAGATTAGGCTTAAACATTCATTTTTCAGAAACCATATAGTTATGGCTCGATCAGGTGACCCTGAATCCTCCCTTAGTTATGCTGCAATAGGCATAAGCTGCTGGGGGACTCCCATGATGCATTGAGTTTTTCCTTTTCAGTCACCTTTTTCACTCACTATGTGTTGATAGACCTCTCTGCATTGAATCATACCTGTTATTAACCTCTGTCTCTCTTCCACAGCATGTCTTTATCCTGTCTTCCTTCTCTCACCCCAACTGGTGGCAGCAGATGGCCCCGCCCCTCCCTGAGCCTGGCTCTGCCGGAGGTTTCTTCCTGTTAAAAGGGAGTTTTTCCTTCCCACTGTCGCCAAAGTGCTTGCTCATAGGGGTCATATGATTGGTGGGTTTTTTCTCTGTATCTATTATTGTAGGGTCTGCCTTACAATATAAAGAACATTGAGGCAACTGTTTCCAATTGAATTGGACTGAATTGATTTGAATGACTTTTGATGACCATGGTACCTGTTGAGGATTATAGTTCTCGTTAATTCTCATTAATTGTGTAAATGCTCAGAAAATAAAACAAGATTGGCACATTAATGCACTTTCAAACCCTTTTAAAAGTACCCATCTTGCTTCAAGTGGGGCATCCTCTGCCATTCTAGAATCAGCAGTTAGAAAGCGTTCAGTGAAGCTTCCTGCTTTCAGGATGACAGCTGCTCCAAGTTTGTCAGCCAGCTGGTGCAGGTGTTGAGCCATGCTTTTCCTCACTGTGGCACAGTGATGACTGAGAAAGGACAATATTAGACACACAACTCTGGGAACTGTATCGCTAGTTAAACAGAGTTAATCAGAATCCAAACATGGATGCAGTTTTCCACCTTGGCTAAAAGCGCCAGATTGATCTCCTCATGAATAAAGTCACAGGAAGTCTGCGCAAGCTTCAGCGGTAGAGTTTGGCCTGTTTGAAAATATTCAGTGTTGAAAATTATATATACAGATTGCATGTATATAAATAATATTTTCTGTTATTACAAAAATACCAGAAATGTCAAAATTAAAGGTAGCTTATTATCCGTAACTATGATTTTTAATGAACAAATTCCATCATAATTAATACACACGGTGAATTTCATAAGTATAGAAGACCTCCTGTGACGTTTGTTATTTTTCAAGAAAGGTCATAATCATTGTGTTATAAACCTGTTCTAACTATCATTTGCTTTACTTTGGGTTTTGATTAGCTTAAAAAAGTGTTTGGTTACACTATCTATGAAGTTTTGAGGTCACCAAAGAATTTATTCTGTTTGTCTCCATCAGCTGAAGAAACTGGAAAAATGTGATGTTTGTCACACAAATTTTAAGCTAGCTAAATGCTGAGAGATATTCTTACCTTAAAATAATTGTTATTTTAATAATGGAGTGGAGATCAGTATGTATGTCTCAATAATAACCATACAAATTCTGTAAGTAATGCGATATCAAACGTCTCAACAAACTGAACCTGGGAAACATTGGCTTTATTCATTGGAGAACACAAAAGTCTCCAGAAAACTAGAAACGCATCCCATGGGTGCTGAACGTTTCTGCCTGGATGATGGATTGATCGACAGAGCACAGTTTCATAGCTTATTTATTTATTTATTTTTACATGTATTTGCTGTAGTTATACATTTATTCCATCAAACACCTTTGCAGGCAAAGAGAGCTTCTTAACACCACAAATAAAATTATGTTTAGTTAAAAACAACTTGCTTAAAAAGACTGAAATAAATTCTGGGCAAACCAGATTTTCTGTAAAATCAGAAGGAAAAACTGAGGATGGGTTTCTTCCGATCTTCAGACCAGAGGGTAGCTTGCTTGAGAAGCAATCCCACACTGGTTGGATTTGTTCCTGCTCATCTTAATGTATCCCTTGTCTCCCCATCTGTGACCCCAGCTGTAGAAAAAAAGAAATTACACAGTTTAACAACATTTAGCAGCTAAAAATTAATAGTGTTCACACTAACAGTCCAAAAGCATGTGGAGAAATAATGATCTGCATAAATAAGATGCCTTTACATATTTTTGTATCAGCACTCAGTGAATGTTAGAAGTAGTGAAGTGCATGAATTAAAATATGAGCATCACATGGGAGTAAATACCTGTTCTTGATCAGCCAGTAGTCATGTCCATCTTCTGTACCATAACCCACAGCCAGCACACCATGGTCCAACACTGTCTTGCTGCAGTCGGGGTCATTGTACACTCCTGCAAATACATGTCAATCAGACTGAACAAAAGAACAAATGAAGCATTTCACATTTCTTTTCCAATTTAAAAATGTTTCTCTGCACTTTGCAAATATTTTTTCAATGTCTGCACCTGATTGGTAGAATTGGAATGAATGACGAGAAGCATCAATGCCAACAGATATCGGTCCGATAGTGGCCACAGCTTTCTTCAGGGTTTCTTCATTACTGGGTTTGACATGAACATAGCCAGTGCATTTGGCACCAATACCATCAGGCTTGTAATGGCATTGTTGACCCTAATACAGAGAACATATGCAATCATAAGTTTCTACTGCTGTCACATATTTATATTAGCAAACAGAGGCTTTCCAAAAGCTGTTAAAAATAGATTTTGAAAGAAGTTAATAAAGTAGCTCATGCTGTGAGTTTTACAGGGCTTGGAGCTACCATATGTTTTGGCAGTACTGTACAGCCTTTCATGCATGGCCATTATTAACACCACTGTCTGAATGAGCTGATTTGCATTGATAATTCTGATATTTATGATGTGATGAGATTCAGGTGATAAAGACCTGACTGCATATATTCAAGGTTCGTGATTTAAATCACAGAAGAAACAGGTGCGTGTGTGTGTGTGTGTTTGATATGTTGCTATCTATTTACCTTAGCCTTATAGGGGTAGGCTGTCTCAGTGTCAATTCCTCCATTGGCTTGGATATACTGAAGGGCCCGCTTCACTGATCCTCCTTTGCAGCCATTGTTGCCAAAGCTGTGAGAGCAGTCCATTAACTGCTGCTCGCTCAGAGTCACCAGCTTTCCTGTCTTCCTGAAGTGCTGACCCTCCAGTACACCAGTCTGCAGTAAGGATGATTCAGCTTCAAACCAGACAACAGTTTCTGTTTCCCAAAGAACACAAAATCAAAATTTTATGTACTCACTGTACTGAAGGCCCAGCAGGAGCCACACTGCTTCTGATCCTTGACTTCAGTGACATATCCCTTATCCCTCCAGTCAACAGTGTCGGGCAGATCAGTACCTTCAGGCAGGCCAAGAAAGGTAGAGCCACGCTGAGGCAGAGAAGCATTGAAGGTGTGAAGGCAACCCTGGGAAACCAGCTGTTTGTACTCTTCATGGTCCTGGTAAAAAGCAGCAAAGTTCATGGTTTTTATGCAAAAATATGGGTTGTTTTTTTTGCATCCTCACATACTAATTATATTGAAAAATATTGATGACAACTTAAATGGTTAATTGATCAAATCTAAATGATATGTCTTTTTCTGCACATACCATATCGGCAAAGTGTGTCATCCCAAGACGGTAGGATTTCAAACCCTGGTCTGCCAAGATGTTGTGCATTAGCACAAATTTGCGGTTGTTGAGCCAGACCTGCTTCCTTTGAGCCTCATCTAACTCAGAGTCATATGACTTTTCTACCAATTGGAAAAGGAAATCATGGGGGGGGAAACAAAAGAAAGTTAATCATTTTGTATTTTAAACCCGCTAACATATTTCCTTTATTTCCAGTTTTATAATCTTTAGCACAAGTAAAAACACAGGTGAGCTCATCTTTCTTTCTAAATTTGAGGCTTGTAAAGTATCTTAAAAAACATAAAACTTGATCAGAAGCTTCTGACAAAAAGAAAAAATGAAAGAGGAGAGAAAGAGTCTGCTGTCTCACCAAATTTCAGTTTCCAAGCGTGAAACTCCAGATCTTCCAGAGAGATGCTGGCACAGCTGGATACAGCCAGAACAGCAGAAACAACAAGCAGCAACTTCATCTTGACTGAATACAAACAGAAAAGAAAGAAATCCTTTGTGACTTACAGGAAACTTGTGTTTCTGATGAAAACTGATTTTTTTTTTTTTATTCTTTCTTGGTAATACATGTTTTAAAATGCTTTCGTCATAATATTACATGCCACTTTCATTTGACAATATCCACTTTGTCCCATTTTATTTGGGAGTTTCTATGTTACCTCCTCCAGAAATGTTTTTCTGAAATTAAAATTTTTTTTCATCATAATAACTGAAAAGTGTATTTACACTTTTACAACTAAACTACATGTTTAGTTATCTGTGCTGTAGTTACTTACCTGTCTCAGTGTCCGTATCTGTTGTGCAGAGTGTACTATAATCACCTGTGGTTGATATAGGTCTGCGTCAGAGAGGAGTTCTTATATAGTGGGCTACTAGCATGACTGCAGTATTCCAGGTCAGCACAGGTATTTGTAAAGAAAGTGAAAGAACGTGAAGCGGTGGAACAGAAAAAGGTGGAGCTGTACATTAACAGTCTGTTACAGTCTCAGTCTACATTAACTCGGGCATCCAGGACACTGTAGTTTAAAATGAAGGCAACAACTTTTTGGCTAACAAAAGAACCAAACAAAAAGCAAAAAGAAATGCAATTGCCTTCATTTCAAGAGTTTACAGAAGATCACATGACATCACTCACTTAAGGAAACATTTTATTTATGCTCACTCAGCAATAACAAGGAGCGCAACAGTCATGAATGATCTCTTCTGTAATTTGTTACAGATATTGACAAGTTTCAAAAGAGGTTGTCAAAGAATTGTTGGCTTTTCCACCTCTCACCATTGTTGAATGGAAGTTAGATGATAAGGTGGAGGAGCCTTCATGACAGTCAGCATTCATTATTCTTCTTTGCTCTCAAATAGTTTTTGCAAATCTCAGTCCCAGACTCTAAAGTATTAATTCGTATTTGAGAGAAAGATCAACTGCGTTTATTTGACATTTACAAGCCAGAAGCCATAGAAACAATTATTATCTGAGACCCCATGTCAAGAACAATTTGTTTTGAATTATTTAGCCAGCTGGAAGTATTTTATGTCAGACAAAATATAAATTACATGTGACATATTGCCACAGGTCTCATGTTATCTATAAAAGCTCAGCTTGTCTTTAAACCATATTCTCAGCCAACTTGATGTGTCTGAAAAACTACGAGTAAAATAAAGCAAGTTATTCATAACATTACAACACCTTTCACATATTTTGAGGAGATTACAATTTATTGTCAAACACAACGGGATGGGAAGTTAATCTAGTTCATTAAACACAATTAATCTGCAACCTCGAATACTTCTATGACCTCCTTAATCCCACTGACACGTCTTCCGTGGAGGAAGCAGAGTCAGGGGACGAGGGAGACGACTCATCTATCTCTGGGGATGAGGTCACTGAGGTAGTTAAACAATTCCTTGGTGGCAGAGCCCCTGGGGTGGATGAGGTTTGGCCTGAGTTCCTGAATGCTCTGGATGTTGTAGAGCTGTCTTGATTGACACGCCTCAACAATGCTGCGTGGAGATTAGGGGCAGTACCTCTGCCCCTGGTGGTTCCCATCTTTAAGAAAAGGGACCGGAGGGTGTGTTCCAACTATAGGGGGATCACGCTCCTCAGCCTCCCTAGGAAAGTCTATGCCAGGGTGCTGAAAATGAGAATCTGTCTGTTAGCAAAACAATACAGTTTTCATCCTGGTCATGGAACACCAGACCAGTTCTTTATCCTCTCGAGGATACTTGAAGGTGTATGGGAGTTTGCCCAACCAGTCTACATGTGCTTTGTGGACTTGGAGAAGGCATTCGACCATGTTTCTCAGAGTGTCCTGTGGGAGGTGCTTCAGGAGTATGGGCCATTCGATCCTTATAAAACCGTTGCAGGAGCTTGGTCTGCATAGCCAGCAATAAGTCAGACTTGTTTCCAATTGGTGCCCTTTGTCACCGATCCTGTTTGTAATTTTTATGGATATAATTTCTATGCGTAGCCAAGTGGCGGAAGGCTTTCACATGGGTGGTCTCCAAATCTCATCTCTGCTTTTTGCAGATGATGTGGATCTGTTGGGTTCAACAGGTATTTTGGGGTCTCGTTCACGAGTGACAGGAGAAGGGAGCGGGAGATTGACAGACATATTGGTGCTGTGGCTGCAGTGATGCGGACGCTGTACCAGTCTGTTGTGGTGAAGAGACAGCCGAGTGTAAAAGCAAACTTTTTTTACCAGTCGAATTACGTCCCTTACCTCACCTATGGTCACAAGCTGTGGGTAGTGACCGAAAGAATGAAATCATGGATACAAGCGGCAGAAATGGGCTTCCTCCGAAGGGTGGCTGGCTACTCCCTTAGAGATAGTGGAGTTTGGTGAAATCTCCCAACATTAACCTTCCCATGGAGGCTGAGGAGAGTGATGGAAAGATAGATGTAGCACATCCTCAGGCACCACTGCTTCCCACTTAGAAGCATGCCAAGCCAACTCTACAACATCCTGAGTCTTTAGCAATTCTTTCCTCTACTCATTCGCTTAACAATTTTCCAGAGTCACTTTGAGACTATCGCTCGAGTCACGTTCCACTTGGCAGCTGCCTCCATTCAGACTCAGTTTATCCATTCTCCCTCAGAATGCTGTTGAAGATTTGCTGGGGGTGGGAGTTGAAGATCTATCAGACCAGGGCTTCTTCCAGACACTCCCAGGGCACCCAAAAGGTCCAGCATCCTCCCACGCCATCTGATCCAGCTTATAACCAAGTAACAATTAGTTGGCAGCACACCACCTCTCTTCTCCTGAGTGTCCAGAACATAAGGCGTATCTGATAATACAATTACAAAGCTGATCAACCTGTGGTTGTCTTGGTGTCACTTGTGGGCATCTGAATGTGGTGTTTGTTATTGAAAACTGTCATAGGCACTGAAATCTAATAAACAGACTGCTATTCGGGTTTACATCAGGTAGGCTGATCCATAACCATAGAAGGGCCTACCTTTAATGGCTTTTTTTAATTAAGTAGGAGTGTCATTATGGTATTTTATAATGCTATTTCCTCAGGCATATTAACATTTCTCAAAATGCATAACTAACCTCACCTGGTCCAACAATAACGGATAGAGTTACTTAGTGAGAGTTGTTAAGCTTTGAACTGAAAGTGGAATAACTCTTAGTTGACACTAATATGAGCTTCTGTCACATAATTTAGGGAGGGTGCTGCTGCTGCTTCGCTCTCTCCGGCTTTTTTTCTGAATGATGCAAACAAAAAAAACTTTCATTTCACAGTTGCCAGGGCCCCTCTTAGGTGGTGACTTCCACTTCCCCCACTACAACCACTGATAACAAATGTGAGAAACAGCTTCTTCTCTGAAACTGTCAGACTTAAACTCTGCCAAACTTTTTCTCAAACAAATACAGACATACCAGGGACTCACTATGTGCAATAACAATTTCCTGGTAACAAACCCTTGTTGTGTGCAATAAAGATCTATATCAGTACACAGGTTTTTGCACACCAACAACCATTGCACTTCAAATTGTTCATGTGTTATTTATCTCTTTTTTCCTCATCTCGCTACAGTTAGGTGGGGATATGTGTCTTCTCTTGTGTTGTGTTTTGTTTTGATTTTTACATTTTTATTTTATTTTATTTATGATTTTGTGCTCAATATGTTGATAATATCCATCCATCCATCCATCCATCCATCTTCATCCACTTTATCCGGGGCCGGGTCGCGGGGGCAGCAGCCTAAGCAAAGAGGCCCAGACCTCCCTCTCCCCAGCCACCTCCTCCAGCTTATCCGGGGGAATACCAAGGCGTTCCCAGGCCAGCCGAGATTTAAACAGCATTTTAGAAAGACATAGTTTCTCAGAAGTAACAATATGGTCAATATGCAAAAAATGTACAATTTGTGGAAAATTGCAGAAAACTGTAAAGACTCATCATCATAAGATCTGGAATCTGGAGAAATATTTTAGAAGTGTTTTAGAATCTGATCAAGTAAAATAAAATCTGAGATGTCAACTCCTGATTTATTCTTTCTGCAGGAATGGATTACAGAAAATAAAACTAAATTGATTTGAATCAACTTTTAAATTTGTCAGGGTGACCCAGTGTTTTGAGTTTTGTACTCTTATTGAGCTTTGATGTCATCATGGTGTTAGGTGGGGCTGTGTGCAGGCAGCAATGGGACCCAAGGTGCAGACTCCGGAGACAGAACTTAAACCAAAACAGCTTTAATGCTGAACTCAAACATAACATAACTGGGGAAAAAGGTCAAAAATAAACTAACACCGAGCAGATTGACAAAACACACAGCAAAATAAACGGTAGATCGCGACACAGACACTAAGAAACACAGGGCTTAAATACACAGAGGGAGCAATCAGGGAATGGGTAACAGGAGGGAAACACAGCTGGGGCAAATCAGGCCTAACGAGACAAGAGGAAGCAAAACCAGACACATTAACATCAGACATGGACTTTCAAAGTAAAACAGGAAACACATAACA